CTCCATCAACTGAGGACTTTATCTCATTCTCTTTTGTGATCATATTGGCCTTTAGGGCCTAAGTATCTCCTCTGCTGAAGCATAGCGGCCAAAACAGCAGCTCCCCAATGGATTAGGACGTCACTGACAGACAAAAGCCCTGCTCTGCTCTGATGGGCTTATTAGTGGAATGCATGTCATTGCAGGGCTTTGCAGTGATGGCACAATCTGAAACTGACTTTGTGTGTCTCGCTGTATTTCTTTGCAGATTGAATAATACATGCCATCATCACATGATAAGGCTCAAGAACAAATTCAGCATATTTATGACAGTTATTTATTATTAACTTTGCTCAAGTGTAAGAGGATAATCTGGTAATCGTATGACGACTGCTAGATATTAGGCTACTATCAAATTTATGGGAACACAATAAACTCTGAAATTGGTGGCATTTTCATTTCTTTATGTATATTTCAAATAAATCATTCAGGAAGTGCAAGAATGAAATTTTGTGCTTGCTTCATAGTCTATGATGCTTTTTTCTTTCAAACTGAGTGATGTGCAACCAGTGCAATGATAAAGCAGGACTTAGTTTGAAATTTAAAACAAACACAATTCTTTTTATAGAAAGGCAGCTCTTGTTTCTTGGCTGTGTTTTCACAGAAACAGTCTGGCATTGTGGGAGTTTGGTTGTCACTTTGGCTCAGTGGTTCTTGGCCGACTTGAAGCTGTCAAATGATTCAGAATAAACACTTCCTTCTTGGTGATCTTTGAATATTTGGCAGACAATATGTAACAGTGCACAATTTTCTTTAAATCGCTAACATTTATTTTACCATGAGAAGCTTCTGCTTTTTGTTGGGGCTTCATTTAAATGACAAACTCTTAATAATAGTAAGAAAAAATGTTTCAATCAATGATTTTAGAGAAAATATACTTTGGAAGGAGAGATCTGGACACTCACTGACATTAAGTAGGAGAGGAGTTTTCATCAGCGTCTTAAGACAAAAATATTTGAATAAAAATCATCAAACCCTTGTTTAAATCATAGACACAAAGCCTTACTCTGGAGTAGAAGTATAACACTGTCATCCGTCTGTGTGGTAGCGCTCACAGCAGCAGGGGACTGAGTGAAGAGGAAACTGGAGCACCTCCTCACAGTAAGGGGAGCCAGTACAGTATCTGTGTTGATTTCGCTATTCCCCCAACTCCCCTGCCCTCCCGCCCCTCCAACTCTCCGCTCTCTACAGACAGCTGATGTTTATCTGCTCTGCCCATCTGGGCCTTGTGACTGAACATCTGGTAAAGCTGCCACTCTGTATGCAGTGTTCTGCGACTAATGACAGTAAAGGGGCAGCTCTGTCCACCCCTTCAAAATAGTCAGAAAGGCTGAAAGGACTTCATTCGAAGATGTCAATGCTTGTTATGTGGGATTACTTCCACAGTTCCAAAATACAGGCCTTCAGATGCATTGTCTATGGCTATTGATTAAGTTCTCTTTAAGAGTTCCTTGCATGCATCTTGCAAACCCTCATAACTCTATAAAATATTGCACAAAGACAAGGATGTGCTCAAGTATCCCCTTTCTAGTAATGTAGTTTTTGTAATGTTATCTTCAGCCCAGCCATGTTACCATGGATTTTTTTTGAGCAAGACTAAAAAAACATAAGGTCATCACAACTCAAAGACACCATACACAGTGGACAAAGGCACTATTGGGAAATTGGACAAAATAATTTGTAAATGTTACAGCAATTGCCTGATAATAAAGTTGTGTGATCTTATGCTATGTTATGTAAATTTTACTGTCTTCACTATTGAATGTTCATTCACCTTAGGATACCAAGTGCTTTGAGTTGCTCCCATTGATGGTAGGTTGACCCACTTTCAGATTAATTCAGCATATAATTTATTACACCACTTAGGTCAACTCAGACTTTGTATATAAAATTTAACTTTGAGCCCGATTACCCACCAAGAACACTCTCTTTAAATATATTTTAGAAAAGACATATTCTCTCACTGCATGTGAAACCTCTGCCATGAGACACCATGACTATTTTTTACTCCTTTAGTATCAATTAATAAAAAAGCTTTATATAACCATCAATAACATGCAGTTGAACCATTTTGAAATGCTGAGACTCCACTGTTTTTTGTCCACATACACTCAACACACCGGTACACCCATTGCTTGTTAGCACAAATAGCGAATGAGTCAACAACATTGCAGAAATCTAAAGCATTTGGTGAATGCAGAAGACTTGAAGTTCAAACAGAACTTCAGAATGGGAAAGAAAAAGGGATTTCAGTCATTTGAAATGCGGCAAGGTTGTTGGTGCCAGATGGGCTAGTCTGATTGTTTCAGAAAATGTTGACACTTGGATTTTCACACTATCTCTTAGGTTTATAACAGACAATGTCACACACCTTAAGTCATCTGAGACAGTTTTTATCAACATGACAATGAGTTTACTACACATCAAAGTCATACAGCACTATTCTATCATCTCAATATGTACGAAACATCTCTGAGGAATGTCTCGGATGTGTTAAATCTATGGAATGAAGACTTGAGATTGCTCGCTCTGGTATTTACAGAATATAACTAATAAACTAGCAACTGGGTGGAGTTCAAGATATGTAATGAACAATGCCTTTTTCATTCTTATGGCACCTGTCAAAATACATGCTTTTTAAAATTGTGATTAAAAAGCTGAAGTTGCTCCATGATCATTACTCTTCTTCTAAAATGTTTCTCAGTTTACTTTTAGTCTTTTAATTTCCAACAATATGTGCGTGAATTTCTAGGTGATATGCATATCCTGTCCTTGTCTTCAATGGTTCTGATGGAATGAGATGTTTTGCAGAGCCTGCTAGGCTTTCATCCATTATGAATGCTTTGTTTTAGGAGAGTGATTTCTGCAAGAGTGATATAAATATCTATTTTTGGTTGTGAGAAGCAGCTCACGAAAGACTACTTTGTTGAGGAAAAGTTGGTGACTTTTTTTTCTTGAATTCAGTGTCCAAAGTTGAAGAAAGCAAAGACGCATGTTTCATGAGGAGTAGCAAATCTTTTTATGCCTCCACTTCAGAGGTCTGGTTGAACAAACGCACACTCAAGGTTATAAAAAAAACAACAACAACAAAAAACCTTGCAATTAGGGAGTCCTTACAACGAGTCAGAGTCTTTCTGTCTTTAATAAAATAATTGCGAAATATCACAACTCCAAAGTGTTGTGTTTGACAGCTGGTGCAATGTAGTGCAACAGCCTGAACGAAATTCTGCCCCTTGTGTCCTCTAGTACCGGTCACACCACAGCAGGGGGATTGTATGTTAGCACACAGAGGTGAAGCCTGGCAGATGTGAGTTTGTGTGAATGTAATGGTCAATTAGGAAAGAAATGGATAGATGCAGATCCACCATTGTTTAGTGCGAACTGCAAATAACCCAGATGTACACGTAAACATGCATATCTAAGGGACTGTTTTCATATTTGAATGTGTGCCCACCTTGCAAAAGTATTCTCGCACTTACAAATCACAGACATTAATGTATGATAGCAATTTCATGTGATACACAAACTGAAGCAGCACATTGCAAGAGCATCTAACTGTACACTACAGAGAGGAACTTCACAGGAAACATCTGACTTTCATTTGTTACAGAAACACGAGGATTGTTGTCTCAATCTTTGCTATTTAAGAGCCATGATTTCCAGACTGCTTCTTGTCAGAGCTTTATACAACTGAAATGTTATTTGCACCTCAATTATGTATAGTGTACCCATATAACATAGATAATGAAAGAAAACATATATCAGTGTCTGCTATTTAGACTCATAATTTGAAAGTTTCTGAATGACATCATTTACAAACACAAAAAGTTTTTTTGCTTGCTTTTTCTTTTTAATCAACATTTTGGACCTATGGGTGTCCAATAACATTAATTTCTGAGAGAAACAAAGGATGTACTACAAACACACATTTAGGTTGCTGTAATCGTGTTTCTGGGTCACATGACAAGTTTGGATGACATTCTTCCTGTGGATATTCTCCCAGTGCTCTGCAGCTAGGCACCGTCCCATAAAGTGAAGTGTAAGTAAAGCCATTCATGGATTTTCAACTTTAAAAAGTCAAGTAAACATGGGATTTGTACACCCTTGAGTGAATGTTTTATGAAACTGTCATTTGCTGCTGTAACTTGAACAAGTCTTTCAGGACTCTATTGGTTTGCTCATCTAGAAACTTATTTTTTCACATTTTTACTGGCAAAATAGCTCAAGCTCTCTCAGACAGCAATGAGAGCATCTTTGAACAATTTGAATGTAAGTCTATATTTTGACAGGATTACCTTAAAGAGAAGAATATATTTTCATCCAAATGGATTGAAGTTTGGGGTTGTGATCCAGCAACGTTTACGGGGTTTGACAATGCTTGCAAAATATTGTAATTATGAAGAACCTGGGACCCATCACCACAAGTTGTCACAAGTACTTGTGAATAACAGAAGATGATGTACACAGAGGAACGTTTTCTAAATCATCAGTGTTATGTGTTGTTAATTTTATGCTGTACTTCATAATCTTTCAGTAAAAGACTCTGGAGAAAAAAACAGTGTGCAGTTATGACGCTTATGGATATGTGCCAAGCAACAAATCATTCATGCTCAAGGAACATAGAAATAATTCAGTGCACTGCATTGAAAGCAGCCAAGGCTTGGGTACAATATAAGGCAGATTTTCTGTGCAGTGCTCAGGGTAATATTTCTGCTTTAAATTAAAGATTCAGAAAAAAAGGCTCAGGCATTTGCTGCCTAATGCCAGTGTACTGTGTAGTTCAGAATATGACTGCAATTGAAAAAGAGAGCATGACAGAGCAGCTTGTCTCACACCCACTTTGCAAGCAAACGCATCTTAACAGAAACAATGTAAATGAGACTCCAGTTTCTCTCTCCTACCTATTCCCATAATTTATTGTCTGCCGTTTTCTTCATCATGTCCCCCCTCTGTCTTTGCAGGAGCCCAAAGTGGACGCCACTGTGACATTCTATCAGCTTGGCACACCAAGAAGAAAGCCAAACATAATTGTGTGCTCCGGGAAAAACCAGAGAAGAGAGGCAAGCTTCCCATCTTTGTTCTTGCCTTGTGAGAGCAGTCTCTGTGGACTCCGCTTCAGCACACTCTGTACTGTTTAGTTGCTGGATGTATCCTCCACTCTCAGGTGCAAGCAAGGACTGAAACACAAAGAGGGAAGAAAAGAAAGTAGATAAACAGAGCGAAGAGGCATAATTAGAGCGACTGACTTTGTGTCAGAGCAAGAAACCATGAGGAGAGACTTTTGAAGACAACTGCCCTTTGAAAAGCATTGCAGCCAACCTCCAGGACATTTTTATGTGTGTGTGGGGTGTATGTATGAACACCTCTGTCATTTTCAAAGGAATTGAATTTGTATTTGAATGCAGATTTAGCCTTTCATTATGACTCTACATGGAGGCTTTGAGTCACTGTGGAATGGTTTCCACAGAAAGGTTTTCAGGTGGCTCTTGCTTCTTTGTTGTTGTCGTTTGGTCACCTCAGCAGCTAAGCCCAAAATGCCAGGCCACACACACCTCAACTCAATACGCATCGATGGAGACATATCTCTGGGTGGACTTTTCCCTGTCCATGCAAGAGGGAATGATGGCAAAGCCTGCGGAGAGCTAAAGAAGGAGAAAGGGATCCATAGGCTGGAGGCCATGTTGTTTGCCCTGGATCGTATTAATAATGACAACGAGCTGCTGCCTAATATTACTCTGGGGGCCCGCATCCTCGACACATGCTCTCGGGACACCCATGCTCTGGAACAGTCGCTGACATTTGTCCAGGCATTGATTGAGAAGGACTCAACTGATGTGAAGTGTCTCAGCGGAGGGCCACCCATCATCACTAAGCCAGAGAGAGTGGTTGGAGTGATTGGTGCCTCCGCCAGCTCTGTGTCAATCATGGTAGCCAACATTTTGCGGCTGTTTAAGGTCAGTTTTCTATCATTTAAGCCTTTTACTTTTTCAGAATTTTCTTGTGGTATTTTCAGTGCTGAATTGTTTCACAAATCAACATACGTAATTTACAGTATGTTTTCACAATTTTATGAGAATTTAATATAAGAATTTGCTGTTAACTAGAATTAGGCACTTTTTATCTTGATTGGTGACCACCCAGTTAGAAACTAAAATCAAATTTCTGTCCATAAAGATCAGAAAGATCTCTTTTTTTCATAATGAAAAGTGAGGAAGTATATTTAAAATGAATCTATAATACTTTAATGGTGTTTTGTGCAATACCTTTTCACTATTTTGATGCATTAAAATTAGAATGGTAGAATTTTTAAAGGTACATCTTTAGTTAAAAAAATGCCAATATGTTTTAATACTTTTAATGTAGGTTTGAAATTGAATTTTCTGACAAAAAACAATCTTTTTAGTCACAATCTCAAAAGCAGATATGTTTGACCCTGTATCTCTGATGATGTAGCATGTGTTACTGCATTATTTAGGAGCTTGTCATTGTGACTGACATGAGGTGCTTTTGTGGCAAAAATACAGTGGATGTCTGAGTTCTTATTGGTGACACATTGTGAAATGAAAACAACATAGTGAGCACTTTTACTACTAAGATAATTTCAGCAGGAAAGTTTGCTGAGGAAAAAAAATACCCTAAATCTTTTCATGAAGACAAATAGATCAAAATAGTGTCAAAAGTCAATACCATCACAAGTTTATCAGGTAAGAAACTGGGTCTTTTTACAGAAGATATAATGGTTGATGTGTTTTATGTAAATGCAAAATGTCTGCTGTTGTCTATAGATGTTTTATTGAACCCTACCACAGACTTAGCGTGACATGCACGGGTAGCATGTCACAATGGGTCACTGAAGGAGTGAGGTGGAAGTCAGGGGGGTTCCTGTTAGAAAATTATGTGAGAAAAAAAGCTTCTTGCCGTGTTTTTGTTTTCTGGGTTTTTAGTTTTGGTTATTTGCTGTCTGTGTTTTTGCCTGATCTAAGGTCTGATTAAGACTCTACTCTACTGGCTCCCCTTACAAGTTATTTTATTCAGATCACCACTATTATTTATCTCTTGTTTTTTTATTCTTGTGGTTAGATTTATTTTTTTCTAGCTCCCTTGTTAGTGTTTTCTCCCCCTGTTCCCTACAGCATTTCTCTCCCTCTCTGTTCATTCTCTGGCTTCCAACGTGATCCTCCCTGGTTTTGGAAGTTGAGCTTTGAATTCCCTATTAAAATGTATTTCATAATTTACTTCTGGATTCCAGCTTGCATTCTGGTCCAACTTCTTTCCCACAGATCATAACACTTCTGTTTAAATGTGTCTCAGGATTTGTATTGCTCTTATATCACCACAGATTCAGCATGAACATGAAGTGACTTTCTCAAGCCAGCCACATGTAAGAAAACTGTGGACATACTGAGTTTAAGAGGTGTGCAAATACTGGGTGTGTCCGTATTTGTTCTTGGAATAGTGCTTTGACAGCTACTGTGCTGCCGTTTAACTCTCATTAGTACAACTTTGATTGATTATATGTAGGAAACTGTGACTCATTGCACTATAATATATACTATTCTGGTGGTACAGTTGGTGAAAAACCATGCAGATTTGGGTAACAATGCTGGTTAAAATCAAAACAGAAATTATAGCATTTTTTTTTTAAGCTGCAAGATTTCTTGTGCTTGGAATTACAGTTTTTGTCACAATAATCATATAGTGAAATGCAGGTAGAATGGGAAAGCTTTTACATTTGTGCATTGGATAGTAATTTGAATTTGAGGAAAAGGGCAATTTTCTGGCTGAGGTCTACCAAATGTGATATTCTTACTGTTTGGCAAATTTTTTATGCGTTTTTTTTTTTTGTGCTTGTTGTTTGACTTCCATACTTTTCCCCACCACATTTCTCCATTTTGAGCAATGAATCTAATGCAGTTATGTTTGAGCAAACTTAGCAAATGAAATAATTAACATTTTTGAGTCATTTTTATGTTAACATCCAAAACGTAACCCCCCCCCCCAAAAAAAAACTTGGTGAACATTGCTTATCCACAATGAACGTCTTTGAGTGCTCAAGATCAGTAAAAAGGTTCACTTTTTGGTTCAGCATCTAGTGAAAAAGCCCAGACAAGAGGGAACACTCAAAGCTTCTTCTGGTGAGCAACAACAAATAACACAATGTGTACCATTTGCTCTATTCATGCAAGCTTCTACTTCCCAAAGGGCCCTACAGAGGAAAAGACCTGAATCGCCTGCTGTGACATTGATTCAACTCTGTTGCCATTCAAGGGCCAACTTACAGCTCAAGAGAGAGCAGGAAGGTGAATGCTACAGGTGCATTGCAGAAAAGCCCGACTGATATGTCACATGTAGGTTAGAATGAGTTCTACGCCCTCGCATCCTTATTGCTTATTCCGAAATCACAGGATGAACTATTTATGCTTGTCTTTTTCTAGCAGCATGCTCAAACTCGTCACGCAATCCCTGCCATCATGGGAATGCACAGTCTAATTATCTTCAACAAGAAGCAAAAAAGAAGTTGGCGGTATATCACACATGGGAACTGTCACAAAGTGCAGAGCTGTGCGAGAAAAATACGACTAAAAACACAAGTTTATTCAGTCGGTGATGCATGTCAAGTATTTTCTTGCTTATACTCATACCCCACTGAAAGTTTCTTTTCGTGTGTACATCTAAAAATCTGCCTATAAGGTTCTTTATGCAAAATTACTGAAAAGCAACAATACAGTGGAATCACCAGTGCTCTTTTTAAGGTAGTGACAAGGGCAAGACTGACCTCAAAAATAGCCCTGACACAGTTTTCAGAAACTCTAAAACCCTGTGACAAGGGGCATACAAAAAAGGCGTGAGATGTATTTAAACACACCTTGGAGCCATTTAATTATCGCTGTAAATTAGTAGAAAGGTTTGATTTGACAAATACATTTGAAAATAAGCCTGACAAAAGATTTGAGAAAGTGTCATAAACATCCATCATCAGAGTTTTAGAGAACACAATTCTCCTTACACAACAACATAGACAAAAAGGAAGAACTTTTGGTTATAAAAATGGTGATGCTTTGTTTTTATTATACTTGTATCACATTTCTGGTATATTAAATACACACTATAGAGACTATGGATGCTTTAAAAGCCTCCGCTCATATTATTATATGCTACACATGACAGGCAGAAGATTTTTCTCTGACTCATACTGATAGGAAAACAAGAAGCCATGGAAATGTGATTTGTATGGACCCCAAAATGTAGCCCCAAGTGAAAGGAATAACGCATGGCTTATATTTTAAATAATCTCAACACTTGACTCCACCATCACAAGATGATGTTGGATATTCATGAAAATCTACTTTAAAAGAAATGTTAGAACCTATTATTGAATGAAATTAATTCACTATTCCCAGCATGGTTAATGTTGCTATCCATCATCCTGCTTTCCTTGCATTAAATTTACATTTACTTAACTGCGTTATGTGAAGTCTTATTTGATATGATTACACTAATATTTTGTCAGATAAGGTAAATTTTGCTAAAAGCAAGGATCTAACATCAATAGATAATTTGCTATTTTTTTTTTCTTTCTTGAAACCCAAACAGTACTGCGAGTATCTGACAATGCTTCAGGGTAAAGCATCCATTTGCAAGACTAAATAATTACAAAAATAAGAAACCCCAAGACATTTTGCTGTTGTACTATTGTTAAAATGCAAATTAGACAGATTTTATCATGGCCAGGTTTTCATTTTCCATCTCTGCTGATGGAAATGCAGAAACTCCAGGGAGTAAAATTATACTCATATTCTGGCACTTTTCGAGAGGCCTTGTGATAAATAGAGGTAATCACTGAAAAGGTTGACAAACGGATAATATACACTCTTGTTTTAAAAATCTAATTTCGCTCTGTAGAACAGTAGAATATTTAAGCCTGTTGGAAGGACAATGAACACATACAGTTTGTTTTTTTTTTGTGAAAACTCTGATCTTGTAAGTCAAAATTTTATTTATGAACCACATAAACACTTTTGTTGAATAAAAGTGCTTAAAAAGTCCCAACAGAAACTTAATGGGATGTATTTCTGTCAATCTCTAATGATACTGTAGGTTAAAGATGCTATGTATTTTTCTGGCAGCATAGAAAGCTACAACAGAGGTACGTCACAATTCAGAAAGTTAGAAGATTACTTAAAAAATCATTTTCAATGCAGAAATGTCTATCTATGTCCATGGAGAGTGCATTTTATGCTCTCTTTATGCTTTTAGTTACTTCCCCATTGCAGCGTGGTTTCCAACACTGCCGAGGTGTTACGGAAACCCAGGTTGCAAATAGCAGCCTCCAGGCTAATCTCCACTGTTGAGTCTGGTGTCTCTCATTACCTTTTGACAATACTAAATTGATTTATTTCTTTTTTGTGATTCGACAAGTTTCACTCAGTGATAACATAGTTCATTAACTTTTGATACTTGAGAAGGTGAAAAGTCTTGTATGAAAATGAAATCAGACAGAAATGCTCTGCTGTTCCCTAATAGAAGGCTGCAGTAATCTTGGGCTCGAAGAAAAAAAAAAATGAATCAATTGAAGCAGATAACCTGTCTTTCCAAATTATTTGAAACTTCACAGAGGATCACAAGCAATTTGGATTGTGAGCCTTTACACTCTTCATCTGAAAAGATGTCTTTACCTCACCAAGCAATAGCCCAATCACTTTTCTTGTTGCTGAAGAAAATATGCTACTAAGATCATAACTGGTTCAGAATTGGCTTAACAAAAGGATTGCAACCATTGTAGGTCAGGTCTTTCCAAAAAAACCTTTGCATTAATGAGCATAGTGCAGCACCCTTTTGACAGCCATCTTCTGTAATGGTGACCTTTTGTGGCATATCCTCCTTGTGAAGGCTGCCAATGATTCCTCTAAACAACTCTTATGGATTTTCTAGACCAACACATAAAATTACATTT